TGATCGTTTAATTGGTTGTTTATGGTCACGTGATATTGAATAGAAAATTCCATTTCCCAAGAGTGCAATTGAATACGTTCCATTGCACTCTTGCGAGTGCAATTGTACTATACGTTTTATTCCATTGCACTCTTGTGTTTTCGATAAATCGCATCCGTCAAAATGATTCTCGTACGGTGATCGCAGTTTATTTTAACCCGATATTCGGTGAAAGATGGAATGTTCCATTCAACTCGGCTGTCGCCTCGTTGAATGGAACATTCCATCTTTCACCTCATGAAAATATTCTTACCATTGCACTCATAAACATTCATTATTTGTATAATATTAAAGAGAGGTATAAGAATATTAAACTGCATGTTGAGGTATATTAAATAGAGTTAGGAATATTAAATAGAGGTAGGAACATTAAATAGAGGTATATTAAATAGAGGTAGGAATATTAAACTTTAGAGGTAGGAATATTAAACTATTTATGCGTCATAAGTATAACATGGAAGGATAAATTAATATACGAGCTCGAGGTGACTATAAAGCTAAGTTGGTGCAAGCGCCACAGATGCTTTTGAAGGGGATGGCGAGGCGTGCTCCCCACTCTCCCTGGGGAAAATTAAAAAAATTGAGAATCGGAAAGACCTATAGGACCAAACTTGATTGTTACTCAGTAGCTTACTAAATTATAATACAAAACATAATTCGAAGATAAGCATCTTGAAACCCAAAATATGAGTCAAACAAGAAAGTGAGTGAGTTATATTTCGATTTTATTACAAAATCATCATCAGACTAGCTAAAGTTACAATATACACATTAACACCTTCGTTCACCATACTTACCCGTTTGGATGGTGAGGTGTTAGCCCGGGTGACCGAGGGGTGGCCTGGAACGACTACTGGTACTACTGTTACTTGGACTCGGGTTAAGATCCATGCCAGTGGTATCTTGAGCAGACCACCCCGCAGGGCTAACACCTTCACACCAATTAACAATTGGTGGAAATATAAAAGAACAGGAGAGAAAAAAAAATCTTTGTTCCTAATACGTTTACTACGCTTCCAACGCACAATGATTACTAATACCACCAATGTGCGGCCAACCTCTTATTACATACTCGCCCGGCCCCCTTTTGGTCACATGATGTGCCGACGTAACAAGGCTTGGTTCCCTAGCTGTTAACCTTTGTTATTGCATAACCTCATTGGTCTTATATACAAGTTGGCAAGGCATGATGACAGCTTAACGGAAGTCTCAATCAGAACCACGACAGTTGCAGTGAGATGTAAGTGTGATGAAATGTGGGTGTATAGATTAAGAAAAAAGCTTGAGTTCTTTGCTGGCTTTGAGTCCAGTATTTAAACTGGGTGAATGATACTTGATATATAGAGCTTCAAGCAACAAGAGTAAGTTAGGTGTGCGAGAATAAATAGTGTGAAGAATTCGAGAGTTGTCAGATATTAAGTTGGAAATAAAAGTGGAAACGTTATTGTCAGCGTCAGTTGGGTTGTTAAGTTTGTCAAAAACAAAGTGTAGGTTTACAATGTATTGCACATGTTCGCAGTTGTGAAAATGCTGTCCAATAGCACTTTTGGTCGGATTGGTATGTTCAGCGAGTCGCGTCTGTAAACGTCTTTCTGTTTTCCAATATACGTTGCGGAACAGCCAGGACATGTCACCTCATAAACTACATTAGATTTCGAAAGATTCGGAATTTTGTCTTTGTTGGAAAGGAAATAAGAAAACTTTTTGTTGTCATAAACAACTATAAAATTTACAGGAACGGTTAGGCATCTTTGTATATAAGACCATGTGTATATTGTAACTTTAGTTAGTCTGATGATGATTTTGTAATAAAATCGAAATATTACTCACTCACTTTCTTGTTTGACTCATATTTTGGGTTTCAAGATGCTTATCTTCGGATTATGTTTTGTATTATATTTTTTGAAATTGTCGGCTGGTATTGGTTTTTACTAAATTAATCAAGGAAATTTTTACTGTGCATTTACATATTACATGCATACTTAATTTGTCACTGTTAACTAAAAACAAAAACATTAAATTCAGTTATGGTTTGTCATATCTTACAGACCATGATATAAACTTTATATATATAATCGAGACATTCATAACTGTAATATTAGAGCCAAGAACAAATTAAGCCCCCAAGACTTAAGAGAAACTGGCTCGACAATAGTAAATATAAAATAGGCTACCATTTTAGGTTGCCACTTCAGACTCACTAAGTACTATTTAAAACACGAGCAGGAGTGCTTTATCAGATATAAAGCACTCTTACGGAGTCGTTCTCAGGTAAGATTGTGTGTGTTATTGGTAAATAGAAAAATGCTAACTTCTCAAATTTCAACTATTTTACTATAATATGGGTTTAAAGTGGAATATTTTCCATTAATTGATAAATATATTTAATAATTATTCCTACCTCTAAACTACTCCGAAATTATTCCTACCTCTAAACTGCTCCGAAATTCAGATTCGCATTTAAATTGGAAAAACCAGGTTGACTATATTGTAAAAAAGATTAAACGAACTGTAGGGATTATCTCTAAACTTCGATATTATGTCAATAAAAGTATTCTTCTCAATATCTATTATGCATTAGTACATCCCTTCCTATAACTTATGGTATACTTGCTTGGTGTAATACTTATCCAACTACGCTTAAGCCACTGCAAATATTGCAAAAAAGGCAATACGTTTAATGACCTTCTCCAAATTTGATGCACACTCAAGCCCCCTGTTTAAAGACCTTAAGATAATAAAGTTTCTTGACCTTGTTAATTTACATATTACAATTTTCATGCATAAATTTTATAATAATAATTTGCCAACTGCATTTAATAATCTCTTTACTCCTGTCAACCAGACACATAATTACAATACTATATAGACTTGCATCCAAATCGTCCTACTCTATTCCCAAAACAAGAACAAATTATGGAATTTTCAATCTAAGATATCCAGGAGCTAAAGTATGGAACTCTCTTGATGAAACAAAAAAAGCTCTATCTCTTTCCTCGTTAAAAAAGAATTTAAAAGCTAATTTTATCAATGGTTATTGATAAATTATGGCTAATTTGGTTAATTTTCGTAGATTGTTTATTTTCTATAAACGTTGGTCAATTCATCATTTAGAATGTTTGTTAGCAAGACAGAATCCATTATAATCCGTTATAATAATAATTCAGTTAAACCCAAAGCATTCGCAGGAGGTCATTTATATGGAGCCTTTGGGTACACCAGGTATATAGAGACGATAATAAGCTAACTGCGGATTGCGAGAGATGCAGAACTTCGACATTTCGAGCGAAGGTCCTTCGTCGGCTACTAACTTCTGCATGTATTTTTCAAGTTGTTGTATCTCTCGCATCTTTAGATCAGTGAACAAACTGCGAGTAATGAATATTGATTTTTTTATTTTAACAGTTTCGAATTGTGATGGCTGAAGTTGAAAGTGCTGATGGTAGTTTAAAATAATGTTTAAAAGAAACCATACTACGAGTGCGCATGCGGATACCCGCAGTAGGAGAAGAGTCAATTCAAGAGCTTTGGATTAAAAATATATGGTCTCGTCTGGATATTACAAATAATTCAGATGCAAATACCCAGTATTTGTCCGTCATTATTCGCGAATTTGTCAATTTCTTCAGCAGATGTGGTTTTCAAAGAAACGTAGCGAAATACTTCGATAATCAAGGGCCTTTTCAACTTGAACAATCAATAATTTCAGGAAGCTGGAGTGAAGGTCTTTGCGTGTTTTTTAAATCCTCTGCGGAAATTGCACGGCCAGATGTGGACTTTATGTGCGTTCTTAAGAATATCAAGTTCACTGCAAATGACCAAATTTGTGGAAACTTAACAGTAAGGGACGATACCCCATTTATTAATGCGTATATAACTGACGAAATAAGTGCCAAATTATGGAAGGATTTCTTGCACGACTCTTGTGACCACCATTCACCAAACAAGCATCAGCTTTCTTCATTCAAACTGAAAGAAAAGTTACGTCAAAACTATTCCAGTGTCGGGAATTTTTTTCATTCTATTTCAGACCCATTATCGCAGCATCACGTTCACAATGAACCGGGAAGTGCAGCCTTTACGGTAGTTAACACGTCTGTCCCCAATACGGATTTCATGTCTAATCTTGATGCATTTTGTAGATCACGCTCGGGTTTTCTTCAGCGGGAAATAGTGAAAAACCTAGCAAACCTAATCTATAAATATCTACCATCTAGTGACATTGTTTTGGCTTTGTCTTGTGATGGATGGCCTTTATCTGCCAAAGAGTTACCCGTGAACGAATCTGGCCCGATAAAGATTTGGTTAAAAAAATTACTGAGGATGGGTTCCATATTGTTCCCAAGTGTTCGCCAGAAGGAGACTTTCGTTTGTCTTTCTCGTCTGCGGAAACTACTTTAATAAACCATTGGTCGCCACTCCAGCTCAAAGTAATGAAAAGTTTTAAAGCAGTAGTCAAATTTCATCAAAAAACTTGGAGTCCAAATATGAAGGAAATTATTTCAACATATCATCTGAAAACGATCGCATTTTGGTATTTTGAGAAAACAGCACAAGATTCATTTACTGAAGAAACTGTGGCAACTCATCTTATTTTATTGCTTCAGGATCTGGCAGAGGCGTTAAGGAAACTAGAACTTCCATTGTATTTTATGCCCAAGGTCAATCTATTGAAAGGGATTGAAAATTATGAGGAAGCAATTCAGATAGTGGAAAAAAATATTTCATTTATCTAGAGACTATGCTGCAATAGCCCAATCGTCGAAAGCAAAAGTCGATCTTAATAAAGTCCTGAAAGGCATTCTGAAAAAACAACTTCGGAAATCAGCTTCATACAAAAATCGAAAATCAGCTTGATGCAATTGAATGCAAAATGATCAAGCCAAACTGGTCACACAATAATTCAGAGAAGATAATTTTGTACAGATATCTATTTCTCTTCGCATTGAGTTTCGTGTTAAATGGAATAAGCTAGTGCGTTTTCTAGAGATAACATGACATTTGAGAAAAGTGCCACATTAAAAATGAAAAAGAACGATGATTGACGCAGTTTTCGTTGTTATTGATGAAACTGTATTAACACTAAGTACCCGCCGTGCATTAGGAAAAGCAGGGCTGATGAATTGAATGAATTTTAAATATCTAAGGGACCGATCATTATTTATGGCAGGGGTGGGGCCGAAGAGAAAGTACAATGCAGCCGGAAAAAATCATTACCCCACCTTTTTTTAAACAAAATTTCTAGCTAGCCCACCGGTGGAATGCTGGAAAATCTTTTTACCCCACCCAAACTTATTTTGTTGCAACGTCAAAGGTCCAGACATAAAATATGTAATGAAACAGTTTAGTATTTTGTATGTGTATTACTCATCAAGGTCGAAAACTGCTCTTGATGAGTAAAATCATCTGCTGTTAGAGAGTAAAATAATGATAGTATAGGGTGCTTAGACCACTGTGACCACTATAATTAAAAGGAAATGGGATCATGTGGGGGATGCTATAGTTTATAGCATTGTGCCTTATTATGGGTTACCTCTACAATTCAAGGTAATATAAAGAGGTATAGTTATCTAAAGGCTTAAAGTTTGTCTGCTGAAAATAAGACTTGTCATTTGTGTAGTATGTTTCCTTTCGATGGAAATGCAAATTCACAAGGCATTTTTTAATACCATGGACGGGTGGGGCATTTGCCCCACTGGGCCCATTGAAAAGAAGTTTAAAAAACAAAATTTGTTGGGGATTATACTTAAATTTATGTTGTGTTTGAATGTTTAGCATGCAATTTAAAAAATGTGTTTTCCGAATGCAGGAAATGCTATTTCAGAGACCCAAATTTTAAAAATTTCTTGGGAGGGGGGCAGGCAACCTCGTACCCAGGGTTTTATCCCTGGGTACGAGGTTGGGGGGCAGGCCCCCAGACCCCCTAGCTAACTCGTGCCTGCGGTACTCGACTCACACCTTTGGCGATTGCATACTATCCTGGAGGAGGGCAAAGAGAAAATGGGCCCTTTGGCAGTTTTGCTCCACCACTGAAGAATCCTTAAAAAATGCACTGCAAATTCATAATATAAAATAATAATTTATGTTATAAGCCTTGGGGTGGGCCCATAGGGAAATGCCAATAGAATTAAAGCTGGAGTAATACAAAATTGCTGCAACTTGCAACATAATCTGATTTCAACGCATGTTAACTAGAAATGTTGACACATGTTACCTCGTGATTTGTAATGTATGTGTAATATAAATGCTACATTACGCTTCAGAGGTACGGTGTTGGCATACAAATGCTTGAATGGCTACGCTTCTGAATATTTAATGGAAAGGTTCATTGCAAGATCTAGATTGCAAATAGATGAACGCGTCACAAGAAACAAGGAAATGGGATACTCTGAATGTACCTTTTTATCGAACAGCGACAGGTCAACGCTCGTTTTTGTTCAGAGCAGTAAAGTTGTCAGTTGTGGAATGACTTGCCTGGCAATGCTAAATCTGGGAACAATTTGAGGAACGTTTAAAAATAGCATTAAAAACATCTGTTTCAACAATTTTTAAACGACTCTTAGACTTAGTTTTTTAACTAGTTATCTATTAACATTAATATTGACTTCGTTTAGCATATTTATAATTAATATCTTAAAAGCCCTTTTGGGAGTTATTAAAATTTTTAGTTTTTGCTATTCAAATGTGTAAATAAATCCATTTTCAATTTGCTATGGTAGTCGGTAAGTTTTAATGTAACTTTTAATGAGAGTTCCTTAGATGTTCACCAGTGTGTAAAAATCTACGCACTTCTGACGTCGAGTGTCGTAATACTTGGGTCCGCAGCACTTAAAATTAGCTCTGTACTCGTGAGTTGTTCCAAAACAACAGATTTGTGAGCTTCCAAAGTCAACTCCACCGCATGGTTGCCCTACGAAAAATACAACACAATGAAATAGTTCAACCAAACAATGCACTTTAGTTTCGAGAATTTCAGTTTCCTCTATAGTAATACAATAACCACATTGTCCTTGCTGGACCTCTATAGAGAGATTAGAACCGACAGACTAGGAATGCTCGGATAAAACGTTCCAGTACTACTTTAAGGCCCGTTTACACTTGCAACTTTTGCTATGATTTCAGATTTTCTTCTTGTGATGGATGTGAAGATGATGTGAATGAGCGGTGAGTTATGAATATTCATAGGAGGGTACATATACTCAAAGCATTCATCTACTCGTTCACATGCGTCAGAAGAAGAAAATCGCACCTAGAAATCGCTGCAAAATGTAAACAGGCCCTTAGTTTGGTTTCTTTCAGTAGTAACAACTGTATAACACTGACCAATAAGGATCACGGACCCAAACTTGACTTCTCGCGCGGACGAACCGTTTATAGAACTGATAGAGCTACATGTAATATATGTAGTATTATAACTGAATTAGTTTAGATTATGTTTCCTCCTGTAGTAATATTATAGATCAATAAGAGATGACTCTTACTGCTTTTTCCATTCCTTGCATCGGGGGTGAGAATGAACCTAAAATTGCAGGACAATTCGGTTTGTCAATGTTGAGATGTTGATCATAGTGATGTTTATAGTCAGTGAAACTGAATAACAGATTGAAATTTGTTTCATGAAATGTAAATTGCATGCAGTAGAGTGATCATGAGGAGTTTTCGATGTATCTTGTTTTCGATGCCCCAGAGATACTCGTAAAGAGTTCTATATTTTCTATTCATCGTTTTAAGACTTTATTTCTCGCGTCGAGGGGCGTAGGAAGCATCAAAAGATTGGGGGGCACCGGCTGCTAGGGGCACTTTAGGGTATTGAAAAGGCACCTAAAAATGTTTCCCGGAAATGTTGGCGACGGGGTGGGGGGGGGGAGGGGTGGGAAGAAACATTTTCCCGTCGTACCATACCGAAATTGCACGTTTTTGACCAAATTTTTTTAAAAACTTAGAAATTTCCAAACAAAAAGGGCACCTTTGATGCTAATTTAGTATTTACAGCGACATTAGCTTGAACAAAAAGGACACTTTTCATCACAAAAACCGGGGCACTTTTCATCACAAAAAAGGGCACTTTTAGTCCTTTGAAAAAATTGGAGGGGGGCACGTGCCCCCCCCCCCCGTTCCTACGCCCCTGCTGGCGTCTTATCGAAACCTCTAGGGAGGTCAGTAGCCCTTACTGAAGTGATAAGTGATAGAGCTAATGTACAGATAAACTACAATCAGTTTCAAAAATCTTGGGCCACAGATGCCACAAAACCTTTAAATTTCAACAATGGACAATCCCCCCGTCTCCTGTTCAATGCTGTGTCCCATTTCTCGTTGGGTTTGATGTGTTTTGGTTTAAACAAGATTGATTGGGGTGGGGGGAGGGGAGGGGAGGGGAGCGGTATTGTGTGTAAAAAACTGTAATGATCCACTTACAAGCTAAAACTACATAGAGGGTCCTGAAGGGGTAAAATGGGAACTGGGATTGATCTATTTTTAGACTGGGAAAATGGGATTTGGGTTGCTGGGACTGGGATTTGGCCACTGGGAATGGGAAATGAAGTCCTCAAAAATGGGAATGGGATTGAGGTAATGAGAGTCGATTCCCAATTTTTCCACGATTTATGTATTTTAAAATACAATTTTGATCCGTTTTTGGTATCTTTGGTCATGATTTTTGTTGTTAACTAAATTATTCACAGCACTACCTGCGAACAGGCATACTCTGGCGCCCGGAATTCTGGGTTTTCTGATTATGCGTGTCCCCTGAGTCAGATGCACAGCGGAATATATGCCTGGTTTTTGGTATATACTTCATTTAATTAACCCTTAGTATATACCTCAAAGGCAAACCACAACAAAAAATACCGTCATGTGGGACCTTAAAAGGTCTTAAAACTCTTTATTCTACCGATAAATAACGGTTTCTTTATTGACTGGGATTACAATAACTCGGACTGGGATTTCTAATAAAAATCCAACTGGGACTGGGATTTTGCCAAAATTTCAGGTGGGAAATGGGATTGGGACCCTCCCTTCAGGACCCTCTACATATGTCCCAACAACTTCTGAAAGTGATTGTAGTTAGTTTTAACTTTTGCAGTTTTAGCATAAGCATCAACTCACCCTTAACCGCAATTTTCACGAGGCAGTTGAGCGAAAAGTTGCCAGAGGCGCTGCTATAATGTTCGTAGTTATAGCTAACATCATATATTCCAATTGGGTAGCTGCCTTTTCCATTCCTTGCCTCGGGGGGTGAGACTGAACTTAAAGATACAGGACAATTCGGTTTGGGAATCGTCCATGAAACGAAGGCCGTATCTGAACGACCAGCAATTTTAGCATAAACACGAACAACTTCAGGGCATTGGCAAGCTGAAATAATCATAAATAACTTCATTTAAACACGCGACCAACATTTGATTGTCAATAATAGCTGGGTCCACAGCATCTAGATTATAGCGTATTATTAAGTATTAAGTGTTAAGCCTCAATCAATCTACTTGACTAGTACTAGTTCAAATTAAATTTTGATGAGAATTGATAAAAGCTTTCGCTACGCGCGCGCGGTAATAATCAGTCGACCCATCAATACTCGCATACAACTCTTGGGCTCGTTTCACCGGGTCATGAGAGTTGAGAAAACTCTCATGCAAACTCTCGCTTGCCAATACTCATCCTTGTTTGAAAGTAGATTAAAGACTTAGTAAAGTAAGTATAAGTGAAGACTGTGAAGTAAAGTGTTGGTGTGCTAATCATCTGCGATGGAAGGTAGGTAGGTAGGTAAAACTTTATTTAAAAGATCGAAAAAGATTACACGCTGGCCCCATCAACTATACGCTGATTTCCACGAGGGGCGTGTGGATTACATGATATTATATTACAAAAATATTATTACACACACTAAACTACAAATAACTACAAAACAATTATGTACAAAACTAATAACATAATTTATTATTAGCATGACAAAATTACTGGATGCTGATTGGTTGAGAGGAGTACAATTATTTCATTAATTGTACTGCAGTGGCCGGTTGTTCAAAGCTGGGTTAAGCTGGGTTAGTTTAACCCTTGGTTAACCTAAAATTTAAAGCATACTTCCTGACAGCTTGTCTATAAATTTGGATATTTCATGGAAATATTCTTGTCAGGATCGATAGGAGTTTACGTCTCTGAAGTTTTGAAATAAACATGTGCAGAAATACAAACTAAAACAGCAGGTTAAATTTTAACCCATGGTTAGCGCTAACCCACCTTTGAACAACCGACCCCAGTAGAATTAATGATTTTCCCAAAACAAACAAAATGGCGGAAAGGCATTTTAACTCCTTCCTGACAGGCCGGTTTCGCATTACATTTCGATTCAATTTTTCTAATATAAATATCTCGGCGAGTATTTACCCCCCTTTTAAGTAAATGCCACCATTGAAATCCTCATAAAATAACCTTTCGAACGGGGGGTCAAGTGCCGTCAAAACATTACACAAAGCGAAACAATCATATTGTTACTATAGTCCGACTATAGCACCTGATGTTGAATAAAATTATCATATATTTGAAACAAACGTCACATTATACAAATCTTACGTAAAATTATCAAATTTTACGTTTACTTTTACTTGTACCTTTACTATTACTCTATTACTATTACTATTACGTTTAGAACCGTTTGGTTCTACGACTAAACAAAAACTAAACAAAACAACATGGCCGCCCTATTTGCCATGCCAAAAATGCGTCCACTGCGCATGCGCAAGGCGGGAAAATCCATACGGTAGCTACACCGGCCCCTAAATGGGCATATACTAATAGTCCATTTACTAACTCCATGAAGGCTACCGTTCTTAACCTATAACACAAATATAATATAAATTGTCAAATTTCACTGTTTAGTTCAACATGCTCATTCATAGTCCTAGCCAGATTACTCTCCGTCCATTTGAAGCAAACACAACTTCGCCACAGGACGTGTTAGTATCGTTGTATTGATCTTGTTCTCTCCCCTTCTTCGGTGTTTCGCTCGGGTTGATACTGTCGAACTGGTCTTTACTTTCACTGTGCGTACATAACCGTCTTTACTCGGCATAACTTCCGTCACCATTGCCAATGGCCATTGTCCTCTTGGGTAGTTTTCATCCGCTATGAGCACCAAATCTCCTATCTTTAAGTTTCTTCTTGGAACATTCCACTTCTTTCTTTCCAGTAAGCTTGGTAAATATTCTCTTATCCATCTACGCCAGAAGACATTAGCAAGATACTGTGCCTGTCTCCAGCTTTTTCTGCAGCTCAAGTCATCTTTGTCGAATACGCCTGGAGGTAAACTCGACGTCGGGCGTAAATGTAGTAGATGATTTGGAGTTAATGGATCTCATCCATAGGACTGTCGCTGTTTCTTGTGAGAGGTCTTGAGTTCAAGATTTGGGTTGCTTCAGCCATCACGGTCTGCAAGACTTCATCAGAAACCAACTGTTCCTTTAGAATAGCTCTCAAAACTTGTCTCGTTGACCTTATCAAACGCTCCCATACGCCGCCCATATGACTCGCAGACGGTGGGTTAAAGTGTCATTTAATTCTTCTTTGTGCGCAGAAATTGTGGATCTTGGTCTGATTCCATTCTTCAATGCTTCGGTTCAGTTCCTTGTCAGCACTCACAAAATTCGTTCCATTGTCGCTCTTTATCTCTTCTGGGCAACCTCGTATGCTGATAAATCTTCTGAGGGCGTTTATCATAGAATCGGTGTCCAATGAATGCGCGATCTCTATATGCACTGCTCGCGTTGTCATACACGTGAAAAGGCAGCCATATCGTTTGACAACCGATCGTCCTTGTTTTACTTGTAATGGCCCGAAATAATCAACTCCGACACGCGTAAAGGGTGGTTGATGGGGCGTTAGACGGATTTTCGGTAAATTCGCCATAAACTGTTCTCCCAAACGAGCCTTTCTCCGTTGACAACTAATGCAGCTTCGCACCACACGTCGTACCGCCGTTCTTCCTTTCACGATCCAAAATTCTTTCCTTAATGAAGAAAGGACGGACTCTTGACCCATGTGTCCCACTTCCGCATGGTACTGACGAATTACCATTTCTGTAACTGGATGTTTGAAGGGCAAAATAATCGGATGCTTTAAATCACCATCGATTGGCGCGTTAACGAGTCTACCGCCAACTCTTAACAATCCGTCTTCTAATTGTGGATTCAACTGTCGAAGTGACATTCCTGTCTTCCGGAGGAATACTTTATCCGGTTTCTTAGCACGTTCAGCAACCGTGAGTATCTTCAATTCTTCTGGGAACGCAGTTAGTTGCACATGTCGAAGGATTTCATCTTGAGCCTTCTTCAATTCTTCTATCGTAAGACGTCCAACATTCGCTGTTGTCTCGACTTCAGTATCGACCACGACTGAGCTCTTCTTTAGCTTCACCTTGGCTCGAAGACATTCTTTATAGCGTAATAACCATGCAACCGAGCATTTCAACTTCCACCAGCTGGAGTGATGTGAGATCAACTTTTCCAAGACGTTACATCTTACTGTGGTTGCGTAAATCTGAGCTTCCTTTCTCACTTCGGGGTCATCAGACTTCAAAACCGGGACTTGAACCATCGTAGGCCAGTGTGTTTCGTCCTTCAAAAGAAACTCAGGACCATTTAGCCACCGATCATTAGATATCATGGCGTCCAATTTAACTCCCTTGGAACCGTCGTCGGCAGGGTTGTCATCTCGGTTCACATACATCCACTGGGAGGGATCAGAGCCACTACGGATTACTGTTAGGCGGTTGGATTCAAAGGTGTGGAATCTCTTGCTTTCGTTGTTAATGCACTTCAGGACAGACATCGAATCTGTCCAGTAGTAAATTCTTTCTATCTCCAGGTCCAACTCTTCTTGTATGATCTTGGAAAGTCTCACGGAGATAACTGCAGCGGTTAGTTCCAATCTTGGAATTGAAATCTCTCGTAAGGGAGCAAGCCTAGCCTTTCCCATAACAAACGCGCAATGAATCTGTTCATTGGTATCTTCTAAACGGAGGTATGCAACTGCCGAGTAGCCAAGTCGCGAGGCGTCTGAGAAGAGGTGTATCTGTATTTCCTTGACGACGCCAAATCCAACGGGTTTGAAACAGCGATCTACACGTATTGCTTGTAACTTTGGAAGGTCAGCCAACCATCGTTTCCATTGCGCCTTCTCGTTTTCTTGAAGTGGATCGTCCCATCCAACTCCCTTTCTACATAACATCTGTAGCAACAACTTCGCTTTCATTACGTAGGGTGCAATAAACCCCAAAGGATCGAAGAGTGAATAAACAGCTGATACGATCGCTCGCCGAGTGACC